CAGTACATGGCAAGCCCCTTATTGAGGCACCCTGTGCCCCAGCCATCCCTGCCATCCACTGTAGTACATGGAGTAGCAGAGCAATGCACACAGGCAGGAGCGTACACTGGGGCACAAAGTAACAGCACAACTTTGTGGCACTACTTTGTGTGCTGCTGTAAAGGCAGGCCCCTGCTCATGTGGACCCACCCTATTTGTTTATCCAAGTTTGTCATTTGCTAATTTATCTATCTTATAAAAAGAAAAGCAGAAATGAAGATCGCAAGTCAGAGAGCAAGAATCCACTGGAACAAACGATACACAAACATTTATTTATTTTCCCCTTCTCTAAATAAATGTTAGAGTTGTTCTTGTACTTATGGTGTGGCTCTGCGATGAGCATATTGTGTAATTTGGGGTTAAATTGCACCTAGTAAATACAAACTTCTGTGAAATAAACAACCTCTTGTCACTTACTGTAGCATTGCCAGTACTAAAATGAACCAGCCTGTGGTTACCAAAAAAAACCAACACAAAATCCTCCCACCTGGGAGCAACCAGACAAGCACCAGACAAGCCATGCGCAATGGTGGGAGCTACTTCCTCCACACAATGAGCCATGCTTCTGTTCCATGCCCCTCCTGGCTCCGGCTGGGCAGCAGCTGCCCCAACCCCACACCTTCCCTCACTGCAGCGGCTTTGATCTAAGCCCCCACCCCTCCTCCTTCCCCTTTCACCACACCAGATTTACCAGTTGCACACAGCTCTTCATACTGCTGGGCTGTGTGCGTCACTGCCTACATGCTGCGCTGTGCTGCACGCACGCACGGGTATTTATTGGACAAATTATCGGCTTCATCGGTTCAATTTCTGATGCAGAAAATTTTCTTTATATCTTTGCACATCCGATCATGGACTGATGCATCAGTGCACCTCTAGTTTGAGACAACATTGGTGTCAAAGAGCAGAGATCTTTTGGAGGGGAGGAGGGGTTGAAACTGGACACAGTACACCAGATGTGGCCCCACCAGTGCCCATTAAAGGGAAAGAATTATTTCTCTTTATCTGCTGGCAGTGCTCGTACTAATGCAGCCCAGTATGGTGTTAACCTTCTTCACAGCAAGGGCACACAGTTGGTTTCACTGCACCTCTTAATAATAATGGGTGTAGCCACCATTAATCATATTTAGTATGAGTACTCATTAAAAACCCAGAGAACTACTTAACTAAATAATTGCACGCATGTGTACGTACTTAATCAAAAGAGCTTAAATGCCTCTAGGATTTTAAAGTAACACAGAATTTTAAGAATATAGACAGACAAATATAGTTGTGTCTACCAGTTTGGGCTTTTTTTTGTCACAGCAGAACAACTTCTGAAACTTTGAGTTGGACTCTGACTGTGAGCTACCTGCCTAAAGTATTTCATTCTGAAGTAAGCTTTACACAGTGTGTTTTTAAAAAATAAAAAGACTATAAAAAATAAGACTTCTCTATTTATTGAATTTTTATCTTTGTTTTCTCTCCTAGCCCATCATTCCTATGTTTACACAAAATGTTCGGGAAGGAATTAGGACATTAGGAAGAATAAGTAAGAAATTTTACTATTTTCTAACTTTTTTGACTTTCTGTGCATGGGTTCATCTTTACCTCAGTGATAATACTTCCTTTTAAATCTGTGTTTAGAGTTGTTTTATATTTTTATTTCTGATCAGGTGCTATTTAGCGGTTCAACTTGAGTTTAGAATGCGTTTTCAAATCTGACTGGCATTACTGTATCAAATGATCTGTTATTATTAACAGAATAATTTAGGATTTTAGATGGAATTGGGAGGGAGACTTACTACTAAGTGTGCATGTAGAATAATAAGGTTAGAGTAATACTTCTTGTTTTGCATGTTTATAAAACCTATTATGGGTTCTCTACTCCCTGGTGGGAGGTAGGCCAGACTTCTTGTTCATTGTGAGAGGGTTTTTTTTTGTTTTTAATACTACCTACATTTTTAAAAGCCCTTGCACAGTTTGTTGAAATTTGCCAGAGACGCATGTGGAGCTGGACTGGGAAGTGCCTGGGGTAAGAGGAGACGCTCCTAATTAATGCAGGCAGGAGCCCTTCTTCTGCTGCAGTGGCTTCCCAGTCTGGCTCTGTATTTTATCTCTTGGAAACATGGTTCACAGGGCAGTTTCACCTGGCCTGTGGCACCAGTGCCATGGCACCCTTGAAAATATCTTCAAGGGTTCTAATTGAGTGTGCTCAAATGTTGTCTGCAGAAGGTTGCTCTTTATTTCTGCTCAGTTCTCACAACCAGTTCCAAACCACACAGTATTGGAAAGATTTCAGTCTGAGCCATCTGTTTTTTGAGGACTGTGATGTAACTCTAACTATGTCTTTGAGCAATCCGCATAGGTTGTATCAGGTACACTTTTCCTCCAGATTTCCTACACCTGCCGTGCGCAGCACATTGTCTCAACCATGGCATGTCCTTTTGCTTCACAACCCTACATGGCAAAAAAACACTACCATTCTTGTGATGTTTTCTGTCTCTGTGGCTGGAAGTGATATGCAGTGCAGGGAAATCGCAAGCGTCAAATACAGATGTAGAAAGTTTTCACATATGCTTTAGATGCTACAAAGATAGACATATAGACTTTATGTGATACACAAGTGCTAGAGTCTATATTACCTCAGGAACTAATCCTCATTCTTCATAGATTAGAACAGTTTTGGTATAATATCTTTCATGTTTGCACCCCTCGGTAGAATGAATATAAATCCTAAGGAAATTTAGTTACCTCATTACTGGTGTATGTTCTTATCTTCTGACTCTACAAATTAGTCCCTTTAATTATCTTGGAACTATATAAGTCCTTATGCTGTGTACACAAGACTAACTCTTGAACACAAAAAATGGTGACATAACTAAGTTCTGGTCCAGTGTCACAGGTCTAGTTCTAGTGGAACTTAGAGAGACTTTAGGTGCCACATTCATCTCTAACACTTACTAAGTGCAGTTAAAACTCAAGCAGTTTGCAGTGGTGAGAGAGCACTTCACATGTGCAAAAACTGGGGGTTTTTTTGTTTTCTTTTTAAAGCAAAGGGTACCTCCTTCACGCATCCTAACCTTAAGTTACTACGTCCCAAAGATTAACAGCTCTTGCCAGTGAACATATGACAGGTCCCTCCATTCTAGTGGCATTAGTAAGGCTTAGTTTGGTAGGATTTTTCTCTTCAAAGGCTGTTCTCGGTCTCTAGGCAAGTAACAGGATGAGGACCATATCTTAACAGGAGAGAAGGAAAAAGACAGTCTTGAGTATCTTGGGAGAAGGATTGTTTTCTTGCTTGCCCTTTCCTTCTACGTCCCCAGCAGGATCTTGAAGGGGCTGTCCACATACCGGAACTGCAACTGACCTGGGCTAAGTACAGACAGCCAAAAAGTCTGAGGCTGAATTGATTCAAGCTTCGCAGGTTAGTCTAAGCTGTGTAGATTGAATCAAGAAGCAACTGAATAGACATTTGCTTTTGATTTTGGAAGTGCAGCCATATGCCTGCAGTGGCCCAGGCCAGAAACCAGAAACAAGCCTCCCTATTTGGCTGGAGCAGACCAAGGCTAGCCCATCCATCCTTTTAAAGGGGCTTTTTGGGGAGGTGCAAAGCATCCTAGGATGGTGAGGGACTGAGTTAATTTGAATCTGGAGGGGATCTGGGGCAGAAGTTCAGTAAACCCATTTAATCTAAATCAGTTAAGTCTGATACTACATCGGGTGGGCAATTATTTTGGGCGGAGGGCTGCCTACTGAGTTTTGGCAAGCCATTGAGGGCCGCATGACAGGCAGCCAGGAGCAGATAAATATTCATTTTCTAAATTTTTTAGGGGCCCCGTGGGCTGGATAGAATGGCCTGGAGGGCCACATCTGGCCCATGGGCCACATTTTGCCCACCCCTGTACCACATCTGTCCAGGTTTATCTTAAACTGGTTTGGACCATTTTGAAAGTGGCTTATGTTCAGTGAATTTCTGTTGTGTTACTGATTTGAACTGGCTTCTGTTGACTTATATTAGTGTAATTTCTGTCCCTAGCCCTGGAATGGTTCTCCTCATATCTGCTGTAGTAACCTCTAGGGGTGTTTCCACGTGACCCAAAGTAGTGTTATGTAGAAATACCTGAATAAGCTATTACTCCAAATAAGATTGCTGCTATGCGACTTTCAGCAACCAAGCTATGATTAGGGCTAAGTAGCCCAGGCATAGCACTATACTACTGCTGCCAGTACAAGAACTAGTTCAGGTATGTCTTTGTAGCATTGCACTGTACTTTAACGAATTCCAGATTTATCTCCTATGGTCTCTCACTGTTGTTGGGAGAAAGGAATCCTAAGAATTTGCTTCCAAGGATTATAGCCAGAGGTAAATTGATATTCCTTCTAAGAGATGATCAAGTATAGAATAACTCTTCAAGAAGCAGTTTGTTCATTTGAGAACCTGGATGCTTTATGGGGCTGGGTTACTTTTAGAATGTAATTTATTTATATTGTTTCTCAAAGCTTCTCTTCTTTTTTTCTTTAAATAAACTGAAAAACAGAGTTATTTAGGCGGATGTATGAATATTTTCGGTTGCCATTTGTTCCTCTATATGGAGGGTTTCCAGTCAAATATCGTACATATATTGGAGATCCTATCCCCTATGATCCAAATCTAAATGCTGCAGAATTAGCTGAAAAGGTAAGGGTTGGTTTTTGTTCGTTTGTTGTATCAAAATAGTCAATGTCTAAATATAGTGGAAACATGCTTTTCAAGATGGTGATCTTTACCTTTGGGTATTACACAGAGCAGTCAGGCATCTTAACACTTAAGTTGTTGAAATTAATAATTGGCTTCTGCATCATTCAACACTCATAATGTAAATTTGGCACCAAAATAAGTTCTAGGTCTCTTGAAATAGCATGTAGTATTTCTGTGCATCAAAATAACAGTTCTTCTTAGATTCCAAAACCAGGTCTGGTCAGATGATCTGTGGTGGGTTGGTCAAAGTCATCTTAAGAGATGTTTCCTTGTCTTGCATAAAAGAACCCCCAGCCTTTCCTCAAGAAAAACAAACAAAACCCCTCCTCTTCAAAACCAAAATTATGGGAGTTGTCATGGAGATATCAGGGAGTAAAATAAAATTATTAAAGCAAAGTAAAAGTGGTCTACCCACCTCCCATAGTCTCTACATACTATTTTTGATCTTCAGCTTTTTACCTACAAGTCTTAATATCTAGAATACGTAGACTAGCTTGGTAGCTTTATGTTCACGTGATTATGATGTAACCTTCTTGATGAAGTGTGGGCAAAACTCGTTAAGTCGTCCTCACCAAAACTCGTTAAGTGGTCCTCCGGCTGACACAATTCCCCACCCCTGTTCTTGATACAGAGGCATCAAAAATTCAGAGGCAATTGGTGGATCAGCAGGTATGAATGATGCAGTCATCTGATTACTCCTCTGCAATTGCTGAAGTTCATTAAATATATGCACTAATAAAGCAAACATTCTGAAAGAAGATCCCTCATCTCCTGAAAATATTTGGACTCTGCCAGTATCAAATCAGTTGCATCCCATTAGGCAGTTCACCATCTCTGAATACAGCTATTCAAAATTACATACCATATTTCTTCATGTATAACATGCCTTTGAATAAAATGGGCATCTTGGTTTTTGAAGTGCAGAATGAAGAAGTAAAAGTCTTTCCTTGAAAATGCTGGTAAGTGTGGTACATTCCCAGAGAAAACACAAGCAGCTGCAGCAATGGGGAGCAAAATATTGTGGCTCCTCTGTTTAATTCCCTAGCTGCAGAGTGCTGAAGGTGTTGCTGGTTGAGCCGATGTTATTGAATCTTCAAGCAAAGCTGGTGGGCAGTGATTTAGCACCTGCCAGGTTAGCTGAGGGCCCAGTCTCAGGAACCTGGGCTCTGGCACCCAGGGCTTGGCTCAACTTCAGAAATACAGCACAAGGAAAGAAGACATGTCCACCAACAACTAGGAAGCCCCCTATGTAATGTTACTTTCTCTTAAGAGGTTCATGCAATAGAAGCTGCTTTTACCATATTTTCTCACATGTATCCCAATTTTCAACAGCTGATTTTTTTTGGTTACGGGGGGAGGGAATGTAACCTCTAAGCTGTTTCATAAAAGATGGGCACTGACTGTCACCATTTGCTTTCATTTGCTTTGGCTCAACCACGGTTTTGAATGAAATTGGTCATCATTGCTATGTTTTCTGTGAACTCAGTGCTGTAAGGGTGTGTTAAGTGAAATCTGATGCCTGTCAGATTAGAACCTCCCCCTGCCCCCCGAACTGGGAGACTTTCCCATAAGGCTGCCTAACTTGTAAATCCCAAAGTGGCATGAAAGGAACCAAGAAATTCCACCCTGGTAGGGTGCTGGTAGTTCTGGGCATGGGCAGTGACAAAACTCAGGTCCCCTGGAAGTTTTACTTGTGAAAACCTGGGCACTTGCCAATTGTTTGTCTCTGGGCACCAAAACTGGTTCTCCGTGTATCATATTCTGGGACACGGACACTTAAGGGTATGAGCAAATATACCTGCTCTCCTATTTAAGAGGGGAAAGGGAGCTGCTGCATGGGAGCACACATCAGCTATATAACTACTGAGCATGCAACTTCCATAGCTATACAAGTTAGCTAGATCGCCCTGACTTTGACCCTGGATAAAATGGGGATAAAATTGCAATAGTTTTGGTACACTTACCACTACAGAAGCAGGCATAGGCATAGTTACATCTTAAAGGTTTATCCTGGAATCCTCTCATATCAATACAATTGTTAAAAAGCACTTATGTATTTTAGGAATGAGGACTCGTGCTAGAGGTGATATCTTTTATTAGAGACATTTTTTGCAGAAATCTAATTGGTCTATTTCATTGCTCTTTTATATAAAAGATACGAGTCTGGGGATTTTTTTGCTTGTTTGTTTGTTTTTGACCCACACACCCCACTCCCTTGGGGTTTCAAAGTTTTTTGAAAGATGAACTATGATTCCAGATATTACTGTGTTCATACTTGTGCAAGAAAAAGAAAGCAACTAACTTCTACATTTTTCTGCCTCTTTTAACAGGCCAAGAATGCAATCCAGTCATTAATAGACAAGCATCAGAAAATACCAGGAAATATATTTAGGGCTTTAAGGGAACGATTTGAGACACAAGTGAAAGAAGATTGAGGTCATTTGTGTAACAAAGTAGACATGTATTTTCAAACTATGTTTGTAACTTGTAATTCTTATTGAAAAGTGATCTTCTAAAACTTAATTAGGAAATGAACATTCTGTATGACATTCTTCTTTTTAAATGTAAATGTTTTCTGTATAATTTGAGAGACAAGCAATATTTCCTCTCCCTCCTTCCCCTACCATCCCCCTAAGATGATTAGTAGGGGCCCAAACCTGCATTCTGAATCAGGTAAAAAAAATAAATATCTAGCCATTCATTTTAATCTGGGGTTCTATCTTGAAAGTACTTTTCTAAAATAATGTTGCACTTTTCCATGTTCGTGCTCTTGCTCAGTCCCATCTTAAGTTTGTACTTAATGTTGTCTAACTGCCAGGCCTACAAGTTCATCCTGGGTTCTAATATTCAGATTTGAGTCTTTCCATCTTGAGCATCATCACTAGTAATAGAGGTTTGGTGGTCAACTTAAGCCCTGAATTACACCACACTTTTGTTCAAGTCAGACCTTTAATACTTATGTGGGATCATGGAGCATAATTTCAAGACCCTGACATTTCATGCATGAACTGGGACCCCGGGTAGGCATGCTGTTAGAAGCACTCCAAATAGGGATGTGCACAGATGAAGTGCCTAAAAATGACTGAAGTACTTTAAAAATGACCCTCAACAAATGAAGAACATCTTCTGAAATTGTTTTCTTTTGATGTACTTCCTGAAGCAGCTGCATGGGTCAGTAGTTCTCTGGCATTCCACAGTGCTCCAACCCTTTGTCCCCTTGGGAAGGGAGGGAAGTGGGATGGTCAGCTAGTAAGTACTTCCCCCTGTGGGTGGCTGTTCTTGGGAACCGCCAGAATCTGGGGGCTCCTCTAGACATGTAGGGAGCTACCTACGACACGCTGGAAATCCAGTGCATCAGAGCAGATAGTCTGCTGGAGCACGGAAATAAATGCACCTCAGCAGACTCTAGTGTCACATGCATCACTGTTGCAATGCTGAGAAATGGTAGCAGGGGGCTTTGAACTAAAGCTTGTTCAATGAGCTTCAGTTTAAAGTGCCTGCCACTATTTTTCAGCTTGGAGGATGCTGATACATTTGATGTTTGGGCACTTTTAATTAGTGAGCTGCACTAATTAAAGTGCCACCTTGCACCTCCCAGAACACATGTAAAAAAGCCCTGGAGGCTGAGAGACATGAAGGGATTCTTGCCCCCAGCCTCCTAACTGGAGAAAAGTGCTGCTGTGTGCATTCAACACCAAGATCCAGGTGTTGGGGTGAGGGGCATTCACCTTCATTTTGGCAAATTTGAAACACTCCAGGATTCAGAATGCTTCAGATGTACGTCTGCCTGTAGCTTCATCTAGTTTGACCTGTATAACATTTTAGTACTGGTTGTAATGCTAGAGATGAAAAAGTATCCAGCTTTATTGGAGTCAGAAGAGTTTATGGGCTGGAAGCTCATTAGAAACTGATACATTTGTTGTGGAAACCAGTCAGATTAGGATGAATATGAAACTTTGCAATGTTGTTATTTTTTTACATGATCATTATTTAGGATAGAACCACACACAGCTTTCCCCCTCTCCTCCACCCAAGTAATCACTGTAGGTCTAGAACTTTGGCAATGATCTACTAACCCATTTTTTGGGGGGGTGGAATGAACCAAACTCCTAATCATTCAAAAAGAAGAATGAGTTGTATTTAATATTATGACTTAAAATCCAGATCAAAGACCACAAGAAGTCCTCTTTTAAATGCATAGAGAGCAAAAAGAAGGCACTTGGTAACGTGGGGCCCCTGGAGGACACGCTTGGCAATCTGGTGGTTGCACCAGATGATAAAGCTGACTTCTTTAACAAATTCTTTGCCTCCATATTTCTGAGCAGGAACTGCAACATACTCCCACTGGCATCCCAGACGAACTCAGGAGAGGCACAGCTGGGCCCAGAGTCAGAGAGGACCTGGTCAGGGAACTTTTGGTGGAACTGGATGTCTTCAAATCAGCAGGTCCAACTGATCTCCACCTAAGGGTGCTGAGGGAATTGGCAGAGGCCATTGCAGGACCCCTGGCACAGCTCTATGACCACTCGTGGTGCTCTGGCGAGATGCCAGAGGATTGGAAAAGGGCCAGTTTGGTCCCCATTTTCAAAAAAGGGAGGAAGGAGGACCCAGGAAACTATAGGCCCATAGTCTTACCTCAGTCCTGGGGAAACTCTTTGAGGAAAATTATCCAAAAACACATCTGTGAGGGGCCAGCAGGGGAGATTATGCTTAGGGGCAACCAACATGGGTTCATTAGGGGCAGGTCCTGTAAGACCAACCTGGTGGCCTTCTACGACCAGGTCACAAAATCCTTGGATGCAGGTGTCGCGGTGCACCTTGTCTTTCTGGACTTTAGGAAGGCCTTTGACACTGTCTCTTACCCCATTCTCATCAAAAAATTAGGCGACTGTGGCGTCGATGCCTACACAGTCAAATGGGTCACCAACTGGCTGGAGGGCTGCACCCAGAGAGTGGTGGTGGACAGGTTGTTTTCGACCTGGAGGGATGTGGGCAGTGGGGTCCCCCAAGGCTCAGTCTTCAGGCCTATGCTGTTCAACATCTTCATCAGCTACTTGGAAGAGGGGGTGAAAAGCACCTTGTTCAAGTTCGCGGATGACACTAAGATGTGGGGAGAAGTGGGTATGTTAAAAGGGAGGGACAGGCTACAACTAGACCTGGGCGGGTTACAGGTGTGGGCAGATAAGAATAGGATGGGATTCAATACTGACAAGTGCAAGGTGTTGCATTTGGGGAGGAAGAACCAGCAGCATAGCTACAAGCTGGGGAACTCCCTTCTTGTCTGTATAGAGGCAGAAAAGGATCTTGGTGTCATTATCAATTCCAAGATGAACATGGGCCACCAATGTGGAGACACAGTCAGGAAAGCTAACTGCACCTTGTCATGCATCCACAGATGCATCACGAGCAGGTCCAAGGAGGTGATACTCCTCCTCTGTGTGACACTGGTCAGGCTGCAGTTTGAGTACTGCATCCAGTTCTGGGCGTCGCACTTCAGGAGGGATGTGGACAACATGGAGAGGGTCCAGAGGAGGGCCACTGGCATGGTCAGAGGGTAGCAGGACAGGCCCTACGAGGAGAGGCTACAGGACCTGAACCTGTTCAGCCTCCAAAAGAGAAGGCTGAGAGGGAATCTGGTGGCCATTTATAAACTTACCAAGGGGGACCAGCGGGGAGCGGGAGAGACTCTGTGTCCCTGAGCACTACCAGGAGTAACGAGGAATAATGGCCATAAGTTGACAGAGAGTAGATTCAAGCTAGATATCAGGAGGCGCTACTTCACAGGGCAGCTAGGATCTGGAACCAGCTTCCAAGGAAAGTGGTGCTTGCTCCTACCCTGGGGGTCTTCAAAAGGATAGGGTCATTTGACCCCAGTACTCTTGCCTGCCCATGGCAGGAGGTCGGACTTGATGATCTGCTCAGGTCCCTTCTGACCCTACCAATTATGAGACTGAAAATATTGATTATGTTACAAAACAGAATGCAACTCCTAACATTCCATTTTCAGAGTTCTACCACCTTTAACAGAATAAACATTCCCAAAGAGCTTTTGTAATTTTTTTTGTATATTTGTATTTTCCTGAACCATTTTATGTAGAAAGCCAACTACATTTTATACAATAGACTAGCTATATTACAGTTTTTGTCTCCACCCCATACTCTTTCCTCAGGTAAGTCATAATTATCAATTAAAGGGATTGATTAAGGAGTTGCAGGATTGGGCTCTTTTGTACACTGGTAATAAGCTATAGTCTTTTTAACTCTGATATGCATAGCTGACTAATGCATGGATTGTCCACATGGCAAAGATGTTCAATAGCCAGTTTAAAAGTAACATCTAGGAATGTTGTTTCATTGCTGAAAAAACACAAATCACTTGAGCAAAACAAGAAGTTTTGAAAGATTTTTATTTTGTAATGTCCTTGCAGTGTCTCTGACCTTGTTTTTAATGAAATTTTAAATAGTCAAAAAGGAACTGTGTTTAAGTTAACTGAGATGTAGTTGTTCACTTGTGCAAATGCTTATACACATTATTGTATGTATATGAGTTATTCCCGGTTAAATCAATAGGATTGCATAAAGTGCATGTTTTCAGTGCCTTAAATTAAGAGTACAAGCATTGTATGGCAGGGAACTCATGTAAGATAAGATCTGCCAAAACAGGTTCACTGTTTGTACAAATATAGCTGCATCTGATTTTAATATTAAAAATATGTAGCTAAAATGTTTTAGCTGGAAGAAAATCATGTAGTTTGAAAACAAGCCTTTTTAAAATTCCACCATCTTTAAATTGATTTGTCATCTGCTTGAAACCTTACAGGGATACCATCATACTATATGAATGTATTTAATAATATTTTTCTGTGATAACTTATTGGACTATTTCAGTAGACAATTTTGAGTAATAAGGATATTTTATTTTTGCATTTTTCTCAAGGTGGACAATAAAAACAGACTAGTTGGTTTATAGTCACTTTGGCTGCTGACAGACGTGAAAAAAAGGCTTTAACGGAACAGGGAGTTGGACCCAGCTCCCTTGCATCTGTATAGATTGTGTGCTTCACCAGACCTTTTTGGCACTTTTATCTAAAGCTGATTCAGTCAGCTACTAAATCAAAGAGCCAAAAAGCCCTGCTGAAGCATGCTATCTATACAGACATTGAGAAAGCCAGGTTGAACTAAAGCAATGCCTCTTGTGGGCATGTGTTGCGCTTGGTGTGGGGGCATGCCAACTTAAATCGCTGGATATTTTTCTTTTGTGTATTTTTGTTTGTCTGTAAGCAGCCATTCTTTTGAGGATTTCTTGCACTAGAATAGTGCTTCAACATTTAGGTTGCATGAAAGGCATGGGAAAACTTAAATTCCACTTGAATTCAAAAAAAAATATATACTGTACTTAGATTTTGCAAAACTAACTTCTAATAAACTTGGGGCCAAAGTTGACCTGACTGTCTCTTTAATATAAAGTATTGGAATGTGAGTATCGAAAATGAAGTGCAGTATTGGTACTCCTTAAATGTTAAATATACTTTTTTGTATAGCTTTTTCATATTTATTTCTATATTTATGGTGTATGTACTGTATAGAAAATAATAACAGAAAAATAAAATGGGACTACAACAAGGCAGGCTTCTGAAATTATTTTGTGTTGAGTTATAAGAATTAAATCTGAGAATACATTTGGCCTGCGTCCTTGAAACTACTAATGTTTCTGAGAAGCATGTGGCATCTCTAGTAGGAGGAACCTTTAGGTGTTAGGGAAGAAAAAAGAAACAGAATACAAAGAATAATTACTCTGCTAATCGGGAAGGATTCAAGGAGAGAATAAGACAAAATTAAAAGAATGGATGGAAAGGAATAGCAGCAGTTGTTCTGAGGCATAGATGGAAGGAACCTAGACTCATGAAGGCATGGCCAATCTGTTAGAAGGGGGAACCCAGCAGACCCTTCAACTACCCCGTTCTAACAAGGCTTCTTTTTAGGTGATAAGGCTATTTTCCAGGAGTTGCTAATGTATTGTGTACTGAGAACAACTTAATAAGAGAATGATCAGTTGCCAATAGATTGTATGACTAACTCCAA